TAGTATTAATAAGCTTTTTTGATTAGATTATAATAGTTATAGATAAAAATTTGATATAATTTTTTAAATAACTTAGTCTCAATTAAACAAGAGCAGAATAGCCAAATTACAAACAAAAATAAAGCAAAAAATATTATTATATTAAATTTAAAAATTTTAAATTAAGATATAAAGATTGTTTTTTTGTTTACAGAATTTGCTAGCAAGATTAAAAAAGATATACTAGTAAAATATTAAAGAGTATTTAACAAGTTATTAATTTGAAAAAATAATTATTCTTCTTTATAATGATATTGAGGTTATATTAATCAATATAAAATTAAGTTTTATTATACTATTTGACAAATATAATAGAAGAAAATTAGAAATTATAGAAAGATTAAATAATTCTATTTTGAAATATAATTAATTATCTCTACTAGAAACTCTTACTCTTTAGATAAAGTATAATAATATTATTGTTTAATAGAAGAGTATTATTAGTATAGATAAAGTAGATAATAAAGTTAGTTTTATCTAAATTTTGAGAAGTTTATATAAAAAAATTATTATTTTTTATAAACAACTCTTTTAGCTTATTATAATTATTATCATACAAATTTTTAATATTTATTTTTGTGTGATTCTTTTATCTTGCTAAAAAAGAAATTATGATTTATTATTATTATAGTCAAAGAGCTATTAATATTTTATAGTTTATAGTTATTATTACTACTAAGGTTTTATCAAGTATTATTTATTTCATGATCTCTAAAATAAAAATTATATTAGAAAATTATTGAATTAGCATCAAAATTATTATATAGCTTAAATTTTATTTTGTTATTATAATAATACTAAAAAGTTTTAGATTCATTTTCTGAAAAACTAAAAAATTATTTTTTAATTCTTTTTCTTTATACTTGAATTTATTTTTATTCTTACTTTTAGAATTATCTAATTTATTGCTATTATCTACTAAATTCTAAAAGCTTTAAAAAGTAATTATCTTAAATAAAACTATACTAAAGCTTTTTAAATCTAACTAAAATAATAATTTATTAATTTTATTATTAAATATCATTTCTAATACATTATAATCAATATTAATTTTAATTTAAAATAATCAATTATTCTTGATAATAGCTATATATAATAGTTTATCTATAACTACTAGTTAATAGATATTATAATATCTTAGCTAAAAATAAAAAGTCTAAAATTTTATTAATAACTCTTTGACTCTAACTATATATATTAAGTATTTTATTATTTGATGTATAGTGCACTTGGGTGCATCAGTACCACATCGATTGATCATAATGAAATTTAAACTCAGCTAAATTATTAAATTATATAAATATAAATTTCTAATTTTTTTTTATATCTCTTTCTTAAAACTTGTACACAAAATCTGTTAGTATATTAGTAAACAATATCTACAATGACAAAGTAAACTCAAACAACACCACAGATAGCAATGAAATAAACGTGGAAGAATATTTAAAAGAGGCGTGTCATAGCGACATAGACATAGAAGAACTAGTTACAAATGTTGAAATGGTCACACTAAAGAAAGGCTATTCGTTTCCAAGTTTTGATGATGCTAAACAACATGTACAATGGTATGCCAAGTTCAAGAGTTTCAAAATAAGGTTGAGTCGCAGTACTATGATTGAAATGGAAGATTAGAAAATAATGAGAAAATGAACCATTCTTTGTTGTCACTCTGGCCAGTACTAGTCAACAAACTCTACAAAAGCTGAAAAGTCAGTTAAAATAGAATGCTAATAATATGTTAACCT